GTCGGGAGTAAATGATGACTGCTATGTTCATTATTACATCCAACAACAAAAGACCTCAATCGCTTAGGAGTCATTCTTGTGTACATCTGCTCCGGCGGTGAAACAATGGTGGACTGATGACAGCTCACTCAGGGCGGGTCTAAGGTAAGACACCAGTCCAGTCTGTGCTGAAACGCTACTGTCAATCAAACTATCGTGGGAGGGGCCTGTCTGTGTGACGTCACACAGACAGGCGTCTGAGATCGGCTCGATTTGAGAAAGGGGAAAACATTTAACCAGATTAAAAGAAAAACACTGGGTGGGTTTTTATCATTATAGGGTGGTTGTGTACACACACTGCCAACACACATTTCAGTTCAAACAACTTGTAAAAGTGCATGTAGCATCCTATGACCCCTTTAAATAGCCTATAGGCACAATACAGATTTATGTCTGGTACAAAATATATCGATACATACCGGTTTGTCAGGTTAATTATAGTTTTTGGTATTTCATAAACTCCCTATCAGAGGCCATTCAGTACGCTTGTACGTTCACATTGTACGCACAGCTTGTGAAATGTGCTCTCATCCTCATCAGCCTTAATGAGAGACTCGGGGTTACACAACACAGTCTGAGCTCATTGATCACGTAAATCAGCCCTGGGTTTGTCCTGGATGCCGGTGTCCTCAGCCCTGGTCCCAGTCTAAACACACGGGGTCTGTCCGATAACAGTTCCATATACACACTGACAGATAATCATTATCAGCAGCAGCAGTCATCAAACGCACAATGATCAGACTGCTGTCCGCACATGACGGTCTGATAGTGATACTCGTCATATGTACATCAGTTCTGAATGACTTTGAGAAGGTTTGTATTTTCCATAATCGAGAAACTACTTGATGATTCTATGCACATAAAAGGAACCGGGAATTCTCTATAACGGAGCGCTTAACAGCCTGTTTACGCCAAGAGGATAACATTTTTAAAATGCTATCCTGTCAAACGATTAATCGCATCCAAAAGAAAAGTTTTTGTTTACATAATATGTATGTGTACTGTGTATATTTATTATGTATATATAAATACACACACATACAGTAAAATATTTACATGTATTTACATGCATATATTGATATTCATATAATGTATATTATAAATATATTAAATATATAAACATAACATATTTTCTTAAATATATACATGCATGTGCGTGTATTTATATACACATAATAAATATACATAGTACACATACATATATTATGTAAACAAAAACTTTTAACT